GATAACCGATGGGGAAGAAAGGTTCTCGAGTGGCAGCCTCGTACCGGTAGGCGTAGTGTAGGGCGACCCCCCACTAGATGGAGTGACGACCTGGTAAGACATGCAGGAAGTCGATGGATGCAGGTGGCTCAGGACCGTGCTATGTGGCATTACTTGGGGGAGGCCTATGTTCAGCAGTGGACTTGTGAAGGGCTGTAATGATGATGATGATGATTGTAGGAGATTTCAGCATTGCGATGAATGAGGAAGAAATAGAGAGATTATTGAATGATAGCGATGTTGATTTTTCTGAACGATGAGTATTTGCCTCCAGAAGGCCTTCGAGATCTTCAGCGGCCGGAGGAAACTAACGAAGTTGAAGACGAGGGGCCATCTAAAGAACATGCGGAAGAGGTGATTCAGAGTACACCGAGGTTGTTTTGGCGTACTAAAGAGATGTCAAGCCGGAGTCCAGACATAGCGGATGATGAATTAATTTCCCAGGGTTCTTCTGAGATAAATACGCTGTACTCGTTTTTTGAATATTTGGGGCAAGATTTTTGGGATTTAGTTGCAGAGCAAACGAACTTGTGTTCGACACAAAAGCGTGATCTTCGATCAGTTAATACAAATTCTCTGAAATACTCACAGGGCAAGCTCTACTGGAATAGAGATCTATGCGTGGCGATTATTAGGGATGCGATAACCCGCGATATATTTTTTGAGCTTCGCAATTTTATACACTTTGCGAATTCAGACCACCCCAATAGTCTTGATATGCTAAGGAAAATACGACCTGCCATCGAGCCTATCTTGAATAAGTGCCACACATTACCTAGGTCAAAACATATGTCAATAGATGAGTAAATGATTCCCTTTTCTGGGAGATGCGAGTACTGCCAATACGTACCGTCTAAACCTAATCCACTTGGACTCATAAACTTTGTGCTAGCTGATCGAGATGGCCTGGTACTGGACTTTGAGATTTATGTTGGTAAGAATACCGTTCCCTTAGATATCATGCAAAGTCTTGGATTGGGTGGCGGCGTTAATCAAATTCTTTGCCGCACGATTGACAGCAGATGTGTTCTTTACACTCATCGATTTTTTACGAGTTTAAAACTGGCTGAGCATTTGAATAAAAGCAACAAAGAGATCTATTTGACGTGGACAGTTATGACGAATAGAATTGGAACAGTTAATAGTAAATTGAAGACAGACAAGCAGTTAGTAAGAGGTGAATGGGATGAGAAAGTACGAAGCGATGAAAATATATGTATTTTTAAAGTGGAAGGATACAAAAGCTGTAACAATGCTCTCTACATCTGTAGGGAGTACGCCTGCAGATACTTGCAAGCGTTGGTGCAAGGTCCAGAAACGTAAGATTTACGTCAATCAACCAGCTGTTGTAAAAAATTACAATACTTGTATGGGTGGTATTGATTTATGTGACAGATTGATAGCATACTACAGAAGCGCAATGCGTACAAGGAAATGGACGGTTCGAGTCTTTTCTCACTTTTTAGATTTAGTAGTCGTAAACTGCTGGATAATGTACACACGCTGCTGTAAGGAAGAAGACATACTGCGCAAGGATAAGCTGGGATTACTGGAATATAGGATCAATTTAGCTAAAGCGTTGATCAAATACGATGGTGGGCGAATTGATCCTCATTTCACTGGCACTGGCACCAGTTCAAGGCCCAGCTGCAGCACTAGCTGTACAGATGTACCCAGACCCAGCCCTACTGAGAGGAGAAGTCTGCATTGGACCTCCAGCAAATAAACACCGGCTGGTTGTATCACAACCGATACCAGAAGTTTGACTAGACAATGTGGGGCAACTGCCTCGTTTATGTGGAATCGTTATGTGGAAGTTCGCATCTAAATGCAGACATCCATTATGTTCTTTACGGTGCCGCACCATGTGCGTAAAGTGTCAAATGTTTTTATGCATTTTGAAAAATAACTGCTTTGAAAGTTATCATAGTACCAAAAACTTTGGTCCTTAAATCCCGAAGTGCACATTTGTGTACCCATTTTTTTTTCTAATAATAATAATATTAAAAAAAACAAATCCTGAGTTTTATTTTAACCTAAAAGAACTCGAAATTGGCATGAAATACTTTCTAACTGATTTCTTTTAAGTCTAGGTTTTAAGAGGATATGAGTCGTCGTCATGCTAGCAACTTTCGTTAATTTAGAGTATTTAATAAACACAGAATTTATAGAAAATTATCGTTTGTCGGAAGAACTCGTTACTTACCATAAACCTATAGTTTCAATGATAAAAATTCGTGAATAACCTACATCTATTGTAAAATAATAAAAATATTTTAAACAATATTAACTTCTCATTTATTCAATAAAAGAAAAAATAATGTTTTCTTATCGGTCACCACGCTCAAAAAGTGTAACGTGAATTAATATCAAAGAATAAAACTTGAATTAATACCAAAGAAAAAAAATAACGCATAAATAAAATAAATATATAATTATAATGGCATAAGTTGATAAAGAAGCTATACAATAGTTTTACCGCGGCAGTCACCGAGTGCCACACGTATTTTTTTATAGAGCGTAGCGTGAGTGCAATATGTTTGGTAAATCATCTCGAAGTATTGATAACTGCATCATTTCTCGAATATCAATGGCGTGATAAAATATTTCGCGTTATGTGTAGGGGAAAGGAAAGGGTAATTAACTTTCTTGATATTTTATTTGAATATGTAATGATTATTATCGCTGATCCTAAGGATCTAAACAATAAACATCGCGGTACACTCACGTGGTTAGTAAAGAACATTGATTTATTTGTTCCCACCAACGAGATACTGATCAGTAACTGGACGTCCAACAAAGGAAGGTTTGGTGGATCTGACGATACGCACCTCTTATATTTACACAATCCAAATTATTCCTTCCTTGAAATTGGTTCCGAACGCCGCAAAAAATCTCCGATGGCTTGTTGATGATATCTATTATTTACAGTTTAACGTATCAAATAGAGTGTATGCAGACATAGTAATGAGTGGTATTCTACGAGGACCCACACACGCTCCCATGGCTTAACAGACAAAAGTGGGATGAATACTGTTGGAAAATATCAAAACCTTCAACTGCTACGTGCTCATTAATCTTGACGATTTATCTCGATTTTGGAAGATGGAGGAAATAACCGAAACCAATCATAATCTAACATCAGAGTAAGAATACTGTGAATCTGTTTATTAAACCACAACAACAAGACAAGAAGACGGACGATATGCAGTCAGACTTCCAATGAAAATAAATAAATTTAATACGGGACGGACGGACGGGACCTTTTTTTTTAATACGGGAACGTCCATCACTGGTATAACATATAGTCCTCGAGCAGGGTATGTTTCCATGATTGGATGATAAAATCGGGCGTAACGGGTACTAGGGAACAATGCCTTCAGTACAAGTGATGTCGAAGTCGAGAAGTCTTAAATTTGTTACCCTTAATAATGGTACATTGAGGTCACATCCTTCGGTGGATCATGGTGCGAACTTAGTTTCCTCAGTGACAATTGTTGGAGTCCTTTAAAAGTGACTTAAAAAAACGTAGACCTCAAGGTTGTGCGCACAACCCAAGGTACATTTCACCTTGATATAGAAGAAACTATATGTACCAATAAAATGAAATGAATGTTACGAAAATGTAATATAATACCCAAATAAAAGGGGGGGGCCCATATTTATAAAATACTCGCGTGATAAATATTACGAAATAAAATATAAATGAAATTGAATAATACTCCGATTCCCGGTATCTAATAGATAAATAAATATATATTCGTCCACCCGATCCCTAAAAAGGGCGACCGCTCAGACCCGTCCAACTACCGGCCTATCGCCATCACCTCCTTGTTCTCCAAAACAATGGAGTCCATTGTAAACTGCCAGCTCATGAGGTACCTTGAGGATCACCAGCTGATTAGTGACCGCCAATACGGTTTTCGCCGCGGTCGGTCAGCTGGTGATCTTCTGGTCTACCTAACTCACAGATGGGCGGAGGCAGTAGAGTCCAAGGGGGAGGCATTGGCTGTTAGTTTGGACATTGCGAAGGCCTTCGATCGGGTTTGGCACAAAGCGCTTCTTTCGAAGCTCCTTCCTATGAGCTTCCCGAGAAATTGTGCGATTGGATCACCAGCTTTCTTGCAGATCGGAGCATCAAGGTCGTTGTAGACGGTGCAAGCTCCGATTGCAAGCCTATTAATGCTGGTGTTCCACAAGGCTGCGTGCTATCGCCAACGCTGTTTCTTCTGCATATCAATGATATGTTGCAAACCCGTAACATTCATTGCTATGCAGATGACAGCACTGGTGATGCTCTTTACACCGGCCGAGCCAATATTTCTCGGGAAATCGTCTCCGAGTGCCGGGACAAACTTGTGTCTGAAGTCGAGTCCTTGCTGAACAGAGTCTCGGATTGGGGGCGACTAAATCAAGTCCAATTTAACCCCCAGAAGACACAAGTTTGCGCGTTAACCGCTTAAAAGAATCCCTTTGTCGTATCTCCTCAGTTTCAAGGCACTGCCCTTGTTGCCTCAGCCAGTATCCGAATCCTCGGCGTTGACATATCGAGTGACGTGCAGTTTCGTGGTCACTAGGAAGAGAAGGCCAAATTGGCCTCTAAAAAGCTTGGCGTGCTCAGCAGAGCGGGACTGTATTTCATGCCGGCACACCGCCTGCAACTTTACAAGGCGCAGGTTCGGCCGCACATGGAATACTGTTCCCATCTCTGGGCTGGGGCTCCCCAGTACCAGCTCCTTCCACTTGACCGCATCCAGCGCAGAGCGGCTCGAATCGTCGAAAAATTGTATGAAGCACTGACAGCAAATCTCAAACAGTCTAAAGCGAATAATACAATTTTATCTGAAAATCCCGACATACTGTTCTTAGTTTCATTAGCTAAAGATTTTTCTGCCATCAAAGAGGAATTTAAGTTAGAGGCCAAAGCTGATATGATAAATTTAATTCGTAAATATAAAAATATGGGACAGTCATCGAGAACATTACATGAAAATAAATACCAAGGTGCATTTCAATATGAACATCAGTATGGATACCAGTCTGGATATCAGTCTGAATTTCAGCCTCAATATCCAAGTAATCAATCAGCGCCAAGAAACGAATCTGTCAGTTCACTCCAAAATTTGGATAGCAATGAATCGGTTACAAATGACTCCGATATCATATCTGACATGTATGATGATATTGAATAAATCTTTTTCTCTCATTAATAATCTAAGTGCACTTATAACATTTTACGATTGATTTAAAACTGTAACAGGTCAATAAATAAATAAATACATAATAAATAAATAAATAAATACTAGTTGTTTTCTTACCTCAATGTGATGAGCAAACGTTCTTCTGCCGATATACATGATCTCATTACTGTATTTTGACGAGTTAACTCCGGTCTTAGAATCAAAAGAAGTTCTTGGAATGACGAATATGACATTCGATAACACTTATAAAATTTCTTTCTTTAATTTACCAATTTTTTAAACGTTGTATGATAATGACCACTCAATCTTTTTTCACTCGTAAATTGGTCTATCCAATAGATTCGCTTTTTTTACATTTTTTTTCTTTTTAAAAGAAGTACTAAAGCCAACGTAAGCAGTGTTGTCTCAACCGACGCCATTGTACAACTGAAGGAGGAGTCACTGATCAGAAAAACGCAAAATCTACGAGCGACTACAGCGCGTCTGTATCGCTGTATCTGCGCGTATACGCGCAGTAGAGGCGCGTTTCACGATCACCCCGTGTGCTTCAGTTACAAGGTTGTGATCGAATCCCGTTTGAATCGCTGAGATAACTTATTTGCATTTAATGAAAATGTGATCCAAGCATGTATCTTCCCTAGTAGGCTCTGAAATGGCTGACAACAACCCGTGGGAAGCCGTTAGGCATAAGTAATCAGATACCTGCAAATCAGTGTCGTTAGCTAACAGATTGATATTTAAGTCACCCGCCACTATTACACAAGACCTATCCTGTAAGCTGTAAAGTGTACTGTCCAAAGATTGTAGAAAGCCGTTTAAGTTGTGAAATGAGGGAGAGCGATATATGCATAGGATAGACAATGAGTTATCCAAGTCAACCCTAAGGCAGTTTGCCTCATCAAAGGTGGGGTCCTGCACAGAGGGCATCCACTTGTCCAAACAAATGTAAATAACCACTCCCCTACTTTTATTGATATACTTTTTAGTATGAAAGGATTTATAACCGGCTATTTACCCAATTACTGAGCTATCATGTAGCCAGCATTCAGTCAGAACGATGACGTCATATGTAATGTTTAATCTCTTTAGGACTACCACAAAATCATTAAAATTATGTTGAAGACTACGTATATTAAAAGTGAGAAGTTTAAAATCGTTTGATTTAAAAAACTTTCTTACAATATTGAAGTTTGTCCAGTGAGTGACATTTAATCGATAAAGATTTTTCTATATCGTCTTGGATTTCTATGGCGGCCGTAGTATATAAAAAATTACTAGAAAGAGATATTTGAGACAGAGCTTGTCACTCATAAACTGGTAGGAATACAAACATTTTGTTACCAAAGAACTTAAGCCAGTCATAGTCTTAATCACAGAAGTATATTTTAATCGGAATGCGAATATAAGCAATATAAGATAAGGTCTTTTCTTCGCGATATTCAATAGTAGTTTTTTGCCTAAATTATAAATATGTGTAACATAATATGATTTAGAAGGAAATTCATTAGCGAGTGTATTATAACTATTTGTAAAAAAAGTAAAGATTATTAAATACATAAGTCGTACCTTGAGAAGAACAAAAGCATAAGTAGTCTTATGTCGATTTGTTTGTTTTTACACCATCAAAAAAAGCAACGCAAATTACATACGCTCAATTTTTTTCAAATGTTTCTTATTAGTATTAAGGAATTATTGATAAAATTTTTAATCTGTGCATTTTTTCCCTTAGAAAAAATAAATCGATTAAAAAAATCGTTTTATAGATTACGCAGAAAATAAATAAATAACCTACACGTAAATAGCTGAACAACTTTTTAAACCTGAAGAAATATAATTATTAATTTCATTAAACGTTAGAAAGTCTTTTTTGTCGCAAAATTTTAAATGTTGTTATTCGTGTAAACATTTTAACATAAATTTTCCTTGTTCAAAATTATTGTTCCCCACAAATTATCGCGATTATCACTAAATAAGTTACAAATTTATTTACAAATAAAAGCTGTTTGATTGATTAAGCTTATAGATATGATTGTCTTAATTTTTAAGTGTAATGTCAATTACGGCTTTGTTCCCCTAAAAATATAAATGTCGTATTCACGTAAGCTTGCATACTTAAGTGTTATTTGAAAGGATTCCGAGCTAAGCGCGAATACGCGCGTGAGTGCGGAGAGCGGGGCAGGTGTCGTATCGTTAACCGCGAATATCCTAAAATAGTTCAATATGCCAAGTGCAATGCCTGAGTGTTGTTATGGTGCTTTGAAAATTAGATTGATGAAAGTTTCTTGTGTCTAATACACAATAATAATTATATTATACAACAATGTACAATAACAGATCTAAAAACATTATGTCATTACTTTTACGAGTAGATACCTAAAGGTAAGTATTTTGTTTCTTATTTTATGTAATTGTTTTTTTTTTTTACTTTTTCTAACTGACTGTAAACCTTTGTTTAGGGTAGTCTGCAATTGTTTGAATGAGAATATGTTTTATCTTAGGTAATTATTATTATCTAGCAGATTGAAATAAGTGTGTGCCGTTATTTAGTTCGATAATTTAAATAGGTTTTTACCCCCATTTCGAGTCGTGTTGTATGCATTTCATCCAAATTTGCTAAGCTGTTTAAGCATAATTGAAATACAAAGAAACTAACAAGGAATTAATATTAAGAGCCGTGATAGCTCTGATGGTTTGCGCTCGCTGTAAATTTCACAATACACGAGCAAACCGGGTTCGATCCCCGCCGGCACCAATTAAATTGTTAATTGCAATTTTAAGTGCTGATTTACCACGTGCTCGGCGGTGAAGGATAACATTGTAAGGAAACTTGCATGTCAGAGAATTAAAAAAATATTTCAAAGACATATGGAGTTCGCCAATACGCATAGAGGCAGCTCGGCGGACACTTCCTTGCCCTAAAACCCTCTCAGAAATGAGGGGAGGCCTGTGCCCGGGAGTGGGACGTATGTAGGTTGCAACTTTAACTTCAAATTTTTTTAACAAAATATCACATTTATTATATGAGTAGGATTTGGGCTAGGTTACTGATTTGGACAAACAACATTGCCTTTATCGTCACATTGCATTGTCTGCTCTTGAATGGTCAATGATGAAATGTTTACTCGTAATCTTCTTCTAAATTGACCTAGATTGATGATATTAATATCTGTTGCAGAAAAACCTAGCAAAGAGAAGACTTTAAAAAATGTTTATGAAAATCCTGTACCATCAACAAGTCGCGAATCTCGAGATATAGCCATGTTAGTCTACACGGAGAATAATTCAAGTGATATGGAAGAACCTTATTCTCCAGTTGTATCAGAATATTTACCGAGTCATCACACAAGTCGTTCCTCAAGTCTAGTAAGAGAATTATGTTCTCCTTTGCCTTCGTCGCTGATTCATGATATGATAAATATTCCTCAGAATAATTCAGAAAGTACCTTCAAATTTGATACCCCTTTAAAAATGCACAGTATTGTAGATTTCATTGCATCCCCTTTAATTATCTACAAAAATATGAACATTATTAAGAATTCAAAAGAATTAGCTGATGATAGTGATATAACATCCCAAGTTAATTATTTAGTAGAATCGAAGGAGTTAAACCATTATCGCCCTCAATAGATATTTCGTCATCTTCTATTGAAGAAAATTCTCTCAATTTGAAGAATTTACCACAACACACAGATATCCCATTATCTTCATCTGTTACAAATACTGATTCAATTGTCACTGATATTATATGTAATGTTACGAATACAAACAATTTTGATACAGCTGAAGCCACAAAGCCTCAACCTTTGCCAATAAATGAAGGAAATTTTAAGCCTAGGAAAAAGAAATCAAACACTAATAAATGGATTTCTGAAAAGAGTAAGAAACATAAAAATAAAGGTAAGGCTTATGTAAGTAAAAAAAACTAAACACCTTGTGTAGCAAAACTATGAAAGATCCGTGGCCATGTAAAATGTATTGTTTTGAAAAATTTTCTGATGAAGAACGAAATAAATTTTTTGACTTGTTCCGGCAAATAGGTGATCATGAAAAGCAGTGGTATTTCATTTTAAATAATACTGAATCAACCAATCCAAAGGTTATGAAAGTGGATAGAAAAAAGAGATCGTACTAATACTTTCATTTACTATTTGCCTTTGAATAATGACAGTGCTTTAAAACTAAGGTCTGTAAAACAATGTTTATAAATACATTAGGAATTAAAGAACGAGTCGTTTATACTGCCATGAATAAGCTTTCTAATAATGAACACATTTTAGATTTAAGGGTTAAGCATACGAACCGACCTTGTAAAATTCAAGATAATACTTTGGAGAATGTAGTACAGCATATTAAGTCCTTTCCTTGTATAGAGTCACATTATTTAAGAGGAAAATCTACTAGACAATACTTGTCCGAAAATCTTAACATTTCAAAGATGTATAGGCTTTATAAAGATTTGATGACTGAAACTGAACATTTCCAAGGTATCAAATTAGCCAGTCAGTGTCAATACACACAGATATTCAATACTAAATTTAATCTTCCTTTTCATCGACCGAAGAAAGACATGTGTCAAATTTGCAGTATATATGATATTGCTGATAACGAAGGTAAGATAAAATTACAGAGTAACTATAACAATCATTTAAAAAATTAATTAATTGTTAGAAAAATAAAAGATCAGGAAAAGTATATAGCAGATCCATGTATTAAAACAGTTGCAGTTTTTGATTTAGAAAAAGTTTAACACATTTCTTAATCTAATGTAGGAGTTTTTCATTATAAAAGAAAATACCCTGTGTATAATTTCACGGTTTTTGATTTATTAGCACGGCAAGGTCATTGTTACATATGGCATGCGCAAATTGCAAAGAGAGGTGCAAATGAAATTGCAAGTTGCTTATATCATTTTACAGAAAAAAGAAGCCAAACGGGGTATAAAACAGATTTCTTTCTATTCTGATAATTGTTCAGGTTAAAACCGTAATAGATTTATTTTTTTATGTACATGTATGATTCACAAATATTTTACATAGAAATTGTGCACCGGTTTTTGCAAACAGGCCATACGCAGAAAGAAGGTGATGTTATGCGTTCCTCAATTGAAAAAAATATGAAACATAGAATTATTTATACGCCTGATCAAGTGTACGAAGTTATAACTAATTTTAGGGTTCATAACAAGTTTATAATGTACTATCAATCCAACATTTACAATTTTAAATCTATATCAACAGTAAATAGAAATTGAGCATATGACGTAGACGGAAAAAAAATTTGCTGTCGCACTTCAAAGAAATAAAAGCAGATTCTAATTTGTCTGGAAAATTGCTATATAAATGTGATTTTGAACAAGAGAATTACTACGTGCTGGGCATTCGTTCCTCGTCACGTAAACGTAAAAGGAATGGAACACCAGCAGATATTGAGCTTAAACCCGCGTATAATGGTCCGTTACCTATCTCAAAAGCTCTACATAAAGATTTAAATAGTTTGTGTGAATTAAATGCTATACCGGCTTATTAACAAAGTTTTTTTAAAAACCTAACCGCTGAAAATGACATACTGCAAGACACGTCCGATGAGGATTAAGATTCTTTTGTAATCTTAACTAATTAGTTTTTTCAATAGGTTGTATTTTGATTATCCACGTCAGTATCTGATTTTTAGTTTTATACGTATAGGTTTTTACTTTTTATAAGCTGTTTTCATGTCAGCAGTGCCTAAATAATTATGTGATACATTTATTAAATTTCATAGGTTTTAATTTTGCTACGCTTGTCGGATGCTGTTTTTAATTCTTATGAGTATAAATGGTTTTCATGTCAGCGGTATCCAAATAATAAATTGTATATTAATAATTAAACTTCATAGGTTTTAATTTTGTTATGCACGTCAGATGCTGTTTGCAGTTTCTATAAGCATAAGTTGTTTCCACAAGGAAAATTACTAAATAATTATGTAGTACAATTAATAAATATTTGTAAATCCTATGATCTCATTTCATACTTAAGATAACGTTAATGTTTTAATTTAATTTTAGGTAAAAGATTTTTTTATTACTGTTTTTAATAAAAGTTAAGTTTATATTGCCAATTAAAAATAGCGGCATGGTCTGGTATTTATTATAATAAAAATTATTCGATTTCAACAAAAATATGCTTTTCATTATTTTATTAAATATTTAACCTGTTTTTTCATAACAAAGTATACTTCCGTCATAAGAAGATATTATCTAGAGAGAAAAGATGTTAATGTTTTAACCACATATACTTCTCATATTTTTAAAATAGAAAAATGGCATAAAGAGTACTTATTTTTATTATTCAACAAATTAGTTTGGTGAAAAAAAGCATAATATTACTTCCTTTTCAGACTGATTCCATTCTATGGTGATGTATTCACGAATATTTTTTCTAAAATTATTAATTTTCTAAAGAACATTGGTGCATCTATTCATACATTTCTCTTGTAAAAAAAGAGGCCAATAAAGAGTAGCGTAATTTAAATAAAAGTTAATATTTAATTATATATTAACTTTTATATTTAGCTTGTACAATTAATTGAAAGAGTATTTTTTGACGCAATTTTTCATTAATAAGGTGAAACTGCCAGATTTTTTAATTAAAAGTTATTAAGAAATAACCAGTTTCCTTGTTCTCCTGTAAAATGTAATTTTTACACTTATGCTTTTGTTCTTCTCAAGGTACGAAGTTATGAATAGGTGACGTAATAGTTTTATTTTTACAATTATCGGTAAACTAATACTTCTGTGCACTTTCGTTTGGCATAATTTAACAATAAAAATTTGAGAAAAATATTCATAATACTCATAACATTGCTGCAAAGAATCATTACCATTAACATCGAATAATAATAACATGCAACAAAACAAACAGTAACTTAATAACAAGCAAAACAGGCTAATTTGATTTATTGTCTTGGTGTGGAAAAGAAGATGGGATACACTCATGATCCTGGGAAACGAGGTGCCGGTCCATGTCAGCAGCACTTCGTATAGTGCGGGCTGGACTACCTTCGTGCTTTCGGATATGAATTTTTCCATTTTTGATCCAGCAGTACCTATAACCCGCTTCTCTTGATCGAGTTCTAACATCCCGAAACAACTGGCGATTATATTTTGTAAGATGTTCATTGAAGTATAATTTTCTAGAAGGTCCTTGAAATTCAATATCTAAGTTGGTGAGGTCACGTCTAGCTTTCGTCGCCCTTAAAAATTCATCACGCTTGTCTTTTCTTAGAAAGCGCACTATGACAGGTCGTGGTCCTTTAAATTGACTTTCCTGCTTGGTTCGGTCACGTCGACTCCCTGGACGAACAACGAAATCAATGTCGTCGTTAACGAGGGTGATTCCGATCTTAGAAGCCGTAACAAGGACAATGTGTTGCAGGTTCTCACTGACATTTTCGTTGATGCCCATGATCTCCATTTCATTTCGTAGCGAGGATTGTGACTGGGTGTTGAGTTGTTCCTGGAGAATTGAAATGGTGGCCTTAAGAGAATATATGTCAGATTCCTTTTCATCCAAGAACTGAAGTTTCCCTTCGGCATTTGACATACGCGTTTCCAATGAGTCTAGTCTTGAGGTACAGGCCAAGAGACATTGCGAAACTGTTTGCATAGCGCCCTTCATTTCAGTCATTTCTTCCCTCATAAAATGTATTTCAGATGCAAGCTTGAGAAGGTTGCCATTTATTGATTCCAACGTAGCCTACGGTTCTCATTGATAGTGGAGGATACGGCTTTGCGTTTTGATGGACGGGTGGTGACATTTAAATGTAGCTCAGAGTTAGGTGTGCGAATGGGAGTGTTGGAATTATCACCCTTTGGAGTCCTGCAGTGGCAGTTAGGGCATAGCCAGCTTGATAAAAATTCATCCGTGAACAGTTCATATTCTTTTTCCAAGATATTGATACATTAAATGTGGTAAACGGTTTTACATCTATAGCATCCCATAAACAAATCTGCGCTGCCGATGTCAGATAAGCAAGCTCCACACTGAGAAGACATGGTTTACGTAGGTTCCTATCGATAAGCGTCAGCTGTTGCAATAGATATGTTTTTAGTGCGCAGTTAAACGACAAGGCGCTTACCGGTTTAAGTGAATTTAATGCACGTACATGCACTTCGCGCTGCAAAGTATGGCAGAGATGCGCACGCAGTCGCTTGCTATTGGTCGAGATTGACGGACGTTAGAGGGTACACTAAACGCGTTACTAAGTCTCTGCGCGTAGTTCACGGAGATCGTCGACCGATCTGCGGGGGGACGTGCTGGGAAATGCGCGTCCGAGGCGGGAAGGCGGCTATGAATGGTGGACGCCTGAACTCGATAGAATGAGGAAGAAGGTGTGCAGTGCGAGGAGGGTGTGGAACGCTTCCATAGTATGCGAGCGAGATACCGACAGATGATGGGGGAAACGGAGCTGGCCCAATTTCGGTAAATAGCCGAAACAGGCAACATGGAACCGTGGAGGCGAGCTTATCAAGTAGCCAGTGGGAGGTTTCGTCTTCCCAGCAACGTGATAAACGGAATAAAGTTTGCGGAGGCATACACGGCGGAAGTGAGAGGCCATGCGGGGTTTGCTCGTGGCGCTGTGTCCGGACG